CCCGAAAATTTTCAACCCGACCCGAACCGAAATTTCGGGTCGGGTTCGGGTTGGCCTATAACCCGACCCGACCCGACTCGTTCGGAGCACTAGTTGTGGCGCAGCAAAAATTCTTTAATGTCATTTAAGTTAGAGTTACGGATTAGAAGAAGGTATTTATATAGTAAATTGTCCAACTAAACTTTTATTAAAAAGAACTTATACAAAATTTAATATAAACTATATCCCGATAAACACTAAGGGTTTATTTCATTATTATATATTACACCATGTACTGATACTATAATCCCATCAAATTTGACAAATTTGATCGCGTAAAAATAATCGATCAAGTTGGAACACAACATTTTAAATGCTTATATGCGCAACAAATGGCCAGACTTAACATTAGAGTTAAGGTTAGAGGGCTCATATGCAGGGTTTATCATGTGGGTGTTGTGAAAAATATATTTCAGAGCATCCGTGCCATTAAATAAGGCAGCTGCGATAATATTTACATAAAGACTATTTACCATGTTTAATAATCTGATTTAGCTTGCACTAAGTAATTTTGGTCCGGACTAATGCAATTCAGCTTGAACTATGGAACAATTTGAATAATTTATGTTGATTCTTATTTTAAAGATTACTATGTTTATTTTATTTAAATGTGGTAATATTTATTGAAGAAAATATTTAATATGTTTTTTATTTATAGTATAAAATATGATAGTGATTATAAGCATATTTTATAAATAAAAATGTCATTTAAATTTTAATTATATAGAGTTAATGATTATATATGTGAATATACTGTAGAAGATAATGGTAGTATTTTTTTTTTTAGAAAATTACCGAAATCAAAAATAGTTTATGAAGTATGTTGCGAAAGATTTTGAATTTCATTTAGAATAGAAACAATTTTTTTGTCAAGGTTTTCAATTTTTTGATATAAATCTTCCCCCTTAATAGGTTTACGAATATTAAGTATTTCTCTCAATTTATCAGAAATAAATGGCTTTTACGGATCCTGGTCATAATCAATTTCATTGATTTTTTGAGTAACTTGTTCGACTGATACAGGGTAAGAGCTTAATAAAAAAAATTTTAATTAAAATTACTGACATTATAAAAAGATTTAGTATAATCAAGGCTCATTTTAATGACCTTTAGTTCTATATGCATATTTTCACCCTTGTTATACAATGAGCTTCGATCATATAATATATAATTCTTACATTAATTCTGGAAACCAACTCTTCCATCTCCTTTGAAAAGGCAATAAATAAAAAAGCTCTATCTCTTTGATCACCTATTAAAAAATTAAAATGAAATTAATAATAAAACTTATGATTATATAATAAGTTGCTTGTGAAACAAAATTTTGCTGGTGACTATCTAAAATCTGATTGGCTATTACATTTAATAGCCAATCAGATTTTAGATATTCACCCAGTTTTACAATTTAGTTTCACCAGCAACTTTATTATATACGTTTGTTCGAACAAATAGGAATATTAGTCTACCTTTGCCTTTTCATAAAAAAAAAGTTCATCGGATTGCATCTCAATCTCAGTAGCCATACTTAACAAGGCAATAAATAAGTTCACCAAATAAACCGAAATAAGATATGTAAATAATAATTTTAAAATTGCCAAGTATGGATATTGATCTAGTGGTAATGAAGGAAATATTCCTGTATCACCTAGAATTTTATAAATATAATTGTGTAGCATTAGCAAATGAAGAGATGATTGATTAAAACACTTTATGATACTTTACCAGTAAGAAAATTATACACCGCTAATAAAGATGTAAAAAAGTTTGCAAACATATTTGTAGTTGAATCAGGCTGTTAAATTATAGTAGGTGTAGTACTGATTGATCCATCTGTGAGAATCGTATAGTATTTGTTAACAAGATTCCATGGATTATTGTGATCTTTAATATTAATATTTGAAAGAGGATTATCCAAACTGTAATCATCAATTGGCTTTAAATATATATTTAAAGCATGAGCAAAACCAAGAAGAATTATAAATAATAAAAAGAAAAAGAACAAAAAACTTTTCTTGTTACGCTAAAAGCTAGAATCAAGTATTTTCCGAAAAATGGAAATACTCTTAACATCGATATAAGTTTTAAATCTAATAGTAATGCTGAGGAAGAAATCAGCACAATAGGCGGTGTTCTTTCATTTAACCAGTATAATGATGCTGTGATAGGAAGTAAATAAGATGTTAATTCTATTTTTTTTTAAAGTATTACTATCTATAAAAATATTAAATATGATAATCTAAGGCGAGAACAATTTAATTCAGCATTTACATTACATTTCAGGGGTGAAAAAATGGAACGTATACATAGTAAATTTTAATAAAAGTTTTTCAATTAGAAATTATCGGTCTTTTTCAGAATGTTTCAGTCCCTTATAATTTCTAATCTTAATTCCGTTTGGCATTACCAAAAAATCATATATGAATATCCAAAAAAAAATTTACTATGAGTGGAATAACATAAACTACCAAATCGAATTGGTCTCACCCAACTTTAAAAACCTACCCAAATAATTTATAGCATTAGAAAAGTACTTCATCCCATAAAAAATGAATTGTTTAAGTTCAAAAAATAGATGAATAAATCTAAGGATAATTATAATATGGCAAAAGGATATTTATCTCTTATAAAAGATGAATTAGCCACAATTGAAAAGACTATCATAAATATAATAAAAAATCTCTATATTATCGCATGATACATTAAGCCAAAGGTTTTCCATTTAAAGTCCACGATTGCTTTTCCATTATACCTATATAATTGAGTGACTTCCATCTTGATAAATAAACTGGCCTCAGGTTTATATAATAACTCTTTCCAAAATAAATATTTCTCTGAATAAACACATATATTTGGAAAGGGTACAGTCAGGTTGATAGTAGATTGAGATTTTCTTTTCTTTAAAAGGTTTTTAATATATTTGTAAATAGAAATTTGATTCAAACTTTGTTTTTCATTTTCCTCAGCTTCCTCACATATAATAAATTTTGATGTAAAAACCTTATTGCAAAATAGGATCCAAAACAATTGAAAATGTTTTTAAAAATTTTTTTACGGTTGAAGGACTAAAGGTATTTAAATCTAATAAATGATATACAATAGGTTCTAATAATTGCAAATTAGTAAGGGAAGTTTGCTTATAAAGTTCAACATATCTATTATAAATTAATTCTGCCAAAAATATATTTTTTTCCTTTATCGCTTTTAGCGAATATACTTTCCATATATTCTGTCAATATGAAGGTATCATCTAAGATATATTTGTTTGTATCCAAATACAGTACTAATTTATTAAGATCCACATTGCTCAAATCAAATTTGATTATTTTTCGTCTACCTTATCTATAAAAAATTTACTATTGAATTTTTCATGGATTTTTCCATGCATATCTAATGAATATATATAAACACCATCTTCAGTTATTAAAAGTAAATCCTCATTTCTTAAGAAATCATATGAAATTATATTGTAGATGTAAACTTCTTTAGCATCTGATTTAGCTTCAAGCTTAGCATCTGACTTAGCTTCAAACTGCAAATGAGGATTGACACTATTTATATAATTAACAATCCACTTAATTGATCCTTCGTATTCTGATTCAGTTTTAAGTGTACTATTCTTAGTTGATACTTCATACTTTTCTTGTGTGAGAGTTTGAATGTTTTCACCTAATAATTTTTTCAAAGCTTAACGGATATATAAAAAAACACTACTTAAACTTTTTAAGTGTTTATAACTAAATTTTGTTTCTTTATCAAAAATATTATAAATACGGCAGTAAAAATTTGTTACTGCTATGAGTTTGTTGTTCTGTATTTGAAATTTCTGAAAATAATTTGGTCCAATGGATAAATATTCTTTATATATTCTGGTTATATCGTTGACATTATAGAAATTATACGGATCCATTAAATTGAACATAAAATCATCACCTTTGGTAGAACCTTTCCTTTATATGATAACAAATAAATGCTCTATTTCATCATTTGTATAGATAAGGTTTGCACATTCGATAAAATCATCGTCTGTCTTGTCTAAATGATAAAATAAAAGATTATAAATAATATGAAACATCAATAATGACAATAATTAATAAATAATAAACACATACATGATGATAAAAAAATCCTAAATTTTATAGAACAAATAAATATATAATGATCATTGTAGACTAAGATTAACGTTTTATATTTGTTAACTTCTATATTAACATCCTCATAATTAAATCTTTTGGCAGCTGAAAATTATTTTTGGATTTAATAAATTCTTTATCCCAAGATGTTAAAATTCTATATTCGTCAATTACGAATAAATCCGTATGCTTTAATATTATTGTTCTTAAATTTCTATGAACATAAAGTTTTGGTAAGGAAAATTTTATTTTTTTCCTTATTGTCTTGACGAGAAAATAATTTTAATTTATTATCTTCATAAAATAATATATTTTCATTAAAAAATCCCATTTGGATGACGGTTTTAATAAAGGCAAATTCCTGATCATATTCCGTTCTAAAATCAATTTGCAATGGACTTTCTCGCAACTCTGAATCAACTAAAGGAAAATAAAGTAGCTAATATTACTAAGAATTAAATTATTAATATTATTAATAAGCTTGGATTACTTATGAAATATTTTGAGCATCAAAATTTTTGTAACGGTAATCAATTACAAAATATTGATTATCATTTAAGTGCTCAAGAATATTATAGATGGAATGTCCAATAATATATTCATCCTCGGGGAAATATAATGCGATGTACTTTAAATCTTTGGAAAATCTAATAAACATGCTATAGACAGAAGATTCTATCGCTTCAAAATTGACTGATTGTTTTTTAGAAGATGGATCTACTTCTTCATTTTCATTTCTAATATCGTCTGAATCGATGTTAATTACGGTGTGTTCTTGATTCATTTTTTAGTTCATAAAAAGCTCAATGAGATTTAGTTTGGTTCTATTTTCACTGTTGATTTCGGGTAAGTGAGCACCTTACAATAAATTAGCTCTGACAGTTGACTTATAATTGTTCAATTATGTGGATGACAAACATTCAAACTCTCACACAAGAAAAGTATGAAGTATCAACTAAGAATAGTACACTTAAAA